GTGCATGACTGAATGTCTGCAATGTAAAGCGCTTTGAGTGTCCCTGATGGATAGAAAGGCGCTATATAAGTACAGTCCATTTACCATTTCATGCTTGGCTTTAACAACCATTCCATGCTGTTTGTATTTGGTCCATATCTTGGATACAGCTGACTGTGAACAGCCCACATCTTTAGCAACCATGTGTGAAGAGTTAACTTCTTCAAGAAGTTTCACAATCCTCTCTTTTGTTTCAAGAGACATTTCTCTTGTTGAAGCCATGCTTCTAACCACTCCACTTCGTCCAGCAGCCCTCCAAGGTGTCATGACTGCAGGTGTTTTTAACTGCAGACTAAGAAGCAGCTCTAATAATAATAATAATGCATTTTATTTGTTAGCCCATTTCGAAACACCCAAGGACACTTTACAACATTAAAAACACAACATTAACAATAAAATGGCAATTAAAAAAACACTAAAATTAAAAGAAAATAACTAAGAAATTAAAGTGATAAGGCTAACTTGAACAGATGAGTTTTGAGTTGTGATTTGAAAGTAAGAAGAGAGTCAATATTACGAATGTCAGGGGGAAGAGCGTTCCAAAGTTGGGGAGCAGAGTTAGAGAAGGCTCTGTTTCCCATAGTGCTGAGGCGGACAAGAGGCACGTTGAGATGGATGGAAGATGAAGATATTGATATATTATGAAGGTATTGCCAAGGGGGAGAAAGTAGATGATGAAAAGTAGATGATGAAAAGAAGGGGCCCCAGGACAGAGCCCTGGGGCACACCTGAAGTCAAAGGGGAGGAGTGGGATCTGAAAGATTTAAGTTGAATGAAGTGAGTGCAGTCAGAGAGATATGACAGAAACCAAGCGAGGGGTGTGTGTGTGATGCTGATGGATGAAAGTCTGTGAAGAAGGATGTTGTGGGAGATGGTATCAAAAGCCACACTAAGAAGTAGGATGAGAAGAGAGAGTAAAGCAGAATCTGCTGCCATGAGAAGAGAGTTAGTCATCCTGAGGAGAATATGATACGAAAAAAATCATCACAAAAGGTGAGTTCATCAGCTTTGCAGTCATTGGGGTGAGTCCAGAACAAAAAATCAAGTCCAAGGTATGGACTCAACAATTTGAATAAATCCAGAGCTGTCCAGTCAGGATAAAAAAAAAATCACTGGTGAGTGGGAGGTTAGGATTGTTAATATGAATATTAAAATCTCCCAGTAAAATAACATTTGGTGACAGAGCAGACCGATGAGAAAGAAAGGCAGAAAAATCATTTAAAAAGTCCTTGTGGAGTCTAGGGGGGCGATAAACTGTGGCAATGATGGTGGGAGTGGGTCCAGAGAGCTTACACACATTGGGCCTCATGCAAGAACCGTTCGTACGCCCAGATTTGTTCTTAAATTGTGCATACGAGTGATTTAGGAGAATTTGTGGCATTCACCAATGTTTTCATATTCTAAGATTTTTTTCAGATACGAAC